CTAATTCTATTAACCTTTCAGGTACATTATTTACAGTGATTAATTATCAAAAGTAAATGGCAAAGGGGAATAACTCTTCTCAGTAGATTACAAATTAATAGAGCCCTAGCCCAATCTAATTAAAATTAGATTTTCCGAATCCGCTACCGCTTCTCAAATATCTAACAACATCCCATTAGGGGTCACGTCAGAGCGACCTTTCGATTATGAATAAACATAAAACTTTTGGCCAATCATATTCAACCCTCTGTATACGATTCTAAAATTAGTTCCACGGCTACATCTTAACATTATTGATGCTCACTAGACTGTCTTACGTTGAATTAAAGTAATTTTGGTATAAATTGAACGTATAGTCCGCCAATCTGGTATTCTTACCTAAATAATGCAAACGAAAATGCACAAACTACATGTATACGTCTATATATCCCGCACGTCACATTCATATTTAGCACGGTCTTTACCATGCATATTTTGTTTAATACGAAACCCCTCGGGCGATTAGGTTTGGCAGTAAAAAAAGAAACGCATCCGAACTATAAGTCAAGATTTCAGAGACGGCGATTTCTTTGGGTAATCGAAAGGTCGCTCTGACATGACCCCGAATGGGATGTTGTTAGATGTTTGAGAAGCGGTAGCGGATTCGGAACATCTAATTTTAATTAGAGTGGCCCTAGCCAGGACCAGAACACTTGACCAAATGGTCCAGATGTTCAAAAATCTGGTAAAAATACCCTTCCTTATTAAAACTTTTACTCTTTTTGCCCCTGATATGCCCAGGTGTAGAGAACATTTTAAAAGAAATAATGCATTTTTACTACAGATTCACTGTATTATCAATAGCCCCCCTCCCCCCCCCCCTTCCCCATCAAGAAACACCAGAGCCTCTCACCCTGGGACCAGAAGTTTGCTCATCATAAGTAATCACTTTGTTTATCAGCTTAACACTAAGAATCAGACAGGATTATTTAATAGAATTAATGCATTTTCACTATATTATCAAGAGCCCCACCCTTACACCTGCACATCTAAACTAGGGGTCATGCAATTCACTACTCTGGAAGAAGCACTATTGCTCATCATTACTATACACTTAGCTTCTTTGCTTTTTAACCAGAAGCAGAAAAGAATATTTTCAAAGAAATTTTGCTTTTTCATTATATAATCAATAAAGCCCCCCCCCCCTTTCACCAGAACCCTTGATCCTGGGGCCATGAAATTCACAATTTGGAAGAGGCATCCTTGCGTATCATAAGAATGTACCTAGTTTGTTTAAATAATACCCAAGGGCAGAGAAAAAGATTATCAAAGAAATAATTCACCTTCACTATAAGATCTATATAGCCCCACCCTAGCACCAGAACCCCTGTCCCTGGGGCCATGAATTTCACAATTTCGGAAGAGGAATCCTTGCTTATCATAACAATGTACTTAGTTTGTTTAAATAATACCCAGGAGCAGAGAAGAAGATTAATAAGCATTAATGCATTTTCACTATATAATAAATAGAGCCTCACCCTAACACCAGAACCCCTGACCCTGGGGCCATGAAATTCACAATTTTGGAAGAGGCATCCTTGCTTATCATAACTATGTATTCAATTTGTTTAAATAACACCCAGGAGTAGAGAAGAAGATTTTCAAAGAAATAATGCACTTTCACTATATGATCTATATAGCCCCACCCTAGCACAAGAACCCCTGACCCTGGGGCTATGAATTTCACAATTTTGATAGAGTCACTCTTGCTTATCATAACTATATATATATAATTTGTTTCAATAATACCCAGGAGTAGAGAAGAAGTTTTTCAAAGAAATAATGCTTTTTCACCATATGATTTGTATAGTCCTACCCTAGCACCAGAACCCCTGACCCTTGGGCTATGAATTCCATAATTTTGGTAGAGTCACTCTTGCTCATCATAACTATGTATTTAGTTTGTTTAAATAATACCCAGGAGTAGAGAAAAAAGTTTTCAAAGAAATAATGCACTTTCACTATATGATTTATATAGCCCCGCCATAGCACCAGAACCCCTGACATCGGGGCTATGAATTTCACAATTTTGGTAGAGTCACTCTTGCTTATCATAACTATGTATTTAATTTGTTTAAATAATTCCCAGGAGTAGAGAAGAAGATTCTCAAAGAAATAATGCACTTTCACTATATGATATATATAGCCCCGCCCTAGCAAACCCCTGACCCTGGGGCTATGAATTTCACAATTAAGGTAGAGTCACTCTTGCTTATCATAACTATGCATTCAATTTGTTTCAATAATACCCAGGAGTAGAGAAGAAGATTTTCAAAGAAATAATACACTTTCACTACATGATCTATATAGCCCCGCCCTAGCACCAGAACCCCTGACCCTGGGGCCATAAATTTCACAATTTTGGTAGAGGGCTCAATGCCTATTACAATCATGCCAACAGTTTGACTGCATGATGTCCAGGAATAAAGAAGATTTTTAAAGATTGCATTAATTTTGGTGGTTTTAGTCACATTCCTCAGGCCCCAGGGGGGCAGGGACCATGAAATTCACAAATTTTGTTCCCCTACACACATAAATGCCATATGCTAAAATTGGCTGAAATTCGTTCAGTGGTTTCAGAGAAGAACCTGAAAATTTTCAAATGTTAACACACGACGCACGACGGACGACGCACGACGACGGACGAAAACAGATAGCAATAGGTCACCTGAGTGGCTCAGGTGACCTAATAAAAGAAGTATGTCTTTAAATATCGCAAGAGCAGCTCTAGCAATGCCATGGTTAGAAACAATTATTACAATGTATTGTACAAGCATCAGATCATAATTTGATTCAAGTCGAATTACTTCAATAAATTCTTTTTCATAGGAATATATACTAATCAAAACTTCAAAGCCACCAGTCTAATGAAAATGTAAATTTTAAGAATTGAAATCTGATTTATATCATTTCATGAATATGCTGTAACGCATGCAGTACGTTGGAGGTTCCTCTCTTTTTGCAGTCAATATTTTTTGTAAAGTTTGGGGTTTTGGCAGAGCATTTGCTGGTCCCAGCAATGTATCTCTGTTTGTAAAGAATTTTTTGATTTTAGGAGTCCAGTATAGGTAGGGTTTACTGAGATGTAAAATGTATTAAACACTGAAATGTGATTTCGAAGATTTTCATCTTTTGTAAGATTTGAAAAAACTTGAATCCTCATTACCTGACGATGCTTTTATATTAATATCACGAAAAATAGCTTTGTTCTTCTCGAGGTGAAGATTTTTGTAAAGATCTTCATATATGTTTCAAAGTAAATAGCTCACCAGAGCCGTATGCTCAAGTGTGCTTTTCTTATTAAAGAGTGTCCGGCGTCTGTCTATCGTGTGTTTTCTGTCGTGTATCGTCTAAAACATTTCACATTTTCGATTTCTTCTCGCATTTCAACTAAACTTACCACAAAACATCCTTGGGTGAAGGAAATTAAAGTTTGTTTTTTTTTCACAGGAAGTGCCAAGCCCTTCTTCAAGGGGGGGGGGGGGGTGATTAAGAATTCGTGAAAATTTAGTGGCATCATCAAGAACAACTTGGAAAGAAAAGATGAAACTCATGTGAAAGCTTTATTACATACTCTAGATGCAAGTTTTTTTTTTGTTTTTTTTTTTGTTTTTTTTTTATCATCACCCTTGGAGCCACCAGAGGGGTTCTAAGTTTTACATAGGAATATAGTCATAACATAGTCATAGTATCATCCGGTAGTGTTGAATCCAGTTTATTTCAATCATGTCTCCTGGGTTAGGACAGGGTTACAATGGGAGATCAAAGTTTACCATAGGAATGTATCGGAAACATCTTTAAAAACTTCTTCTAAAGCACAGCTAAGCAGTCATATTAATTCAGTATCCTCAGGTAGTGAAGATTCAAGTTTGTTCAAATTATGACCCCGGGGGCTTTTGCTGGACCACAACAGTGGATCAACTTTTTACATAGAAATATATAGGTGAAATATTTAAGGGCTGTTTGCGTAAAGGGCAATGAAGACTTCAAACAGTCGAATGACCTGACAACCATTGGAATGGACTAGCCAAAGGATATGTAATTTAAGGGAAATCTTTCGGAACGTCAGGCATGCAGAAGCAAGCTGAAGACGTTAAGGGTAAGAGCAAAATAAAAGTATAAAAGTTATAAGCACCAGTGGCAAGTATCCTGGGGAATAGATGTTAAGTTATAGGTGTAGTAAATGAGACATCCAGTTCTTATCTATTAATAGGAAATTAGGGGAAAAACAGAATGCAAATAGTTTCTTTTCCAATTCCCGTCTCTAAAGAAAAAAGAAATAGTGTGTAATTTACCCTCAAACAGAGCGGTATTGATAATCATTCCAATCATTAACTCAGACAGAGTAGAAGGAAAACCTATTTAATGATGAATATATAATAATGAAATTTGAATGTTCAGGCTAACGTTATGTTAGCACGATCCTACATTTGACATTTACGGCTATTAGTATACATGCGAATCTGTTCTTTACTTTTTCACCTTACATGTGTTTGGAGATGATATCAGTAGCGTGCTCCATCAGTTGATATTTAACAAAAGACGTACTCTAACACACAGATAATAAATATCACAAGTTTATTTTCGTCATACATATGTTTGTAAACTTTACATCTGATACAGTGACTGTTAGTTAGAAACCTAAAAGTACTTTAAAGTCCGCCAGCGGACTTTTCAAGTCTTAGTTAAAATTGCAAAGAGAATTCATTATTTTTTTTCTTTATTGATTTTCAAATATTAACCATATCTTGTACTCTATAAATTGAAAGCATCTTATATTGTGTGCTTTTAATTGAAAAGCAAACATGTGTCAAAGTATTGTATTTCTGGTAGCACAGATATCTTCAAAACATCGTTTCATAAATCAAATAATTTTAAAAGCTTCATGTATCCTTAACAGGTGATCGTTAAGAATTAGCTGATGTAACCACATTCTCTACACATAACAAATGGCTCTCTATTTCTTCACATTTTGTGGAGCTGGTGTTTCCCCCTGTCTGTGATGGGGGTGACGGGGTTTCCATGACCACTCCTCCACATTCCCCCTCCCTTCTCTCCCCCCTTGTACAAGGCTTTCTCATCGTCTTCTTCTCCTTTCTTTTTCTTGTTCCTGTATAAATTTGTGTAAACATACTATCATTGAAATATCTGATAAATAGCTTACTGTACATGTTTTAACAATCAGTGATTATTTAAATAAATCATTAAAAAAAATACAGAGTTATATATTACATGTAAAGTACATATTTCCGTTTTCCTATCATTGCGCTGTGTTTTAAGATGTGTAGCTTATAAGAGTTATAAGTAGAAATCTCTATTCCGTATGTTACTGTACATAGATGGCTATTTCCTTATCCTATCGTATTAAAAACAATTGTGACGGTACATATTGTCGTTTTGTACATATTGTCGTCGGCGACAATATGTACCTACCCTCACTGCACATATCGTCCTCCATCGATACATATTGTCGCCGGTTGAAAAGTTACACATGTACATATTGTCGCTGGCGACATTATGTGCCTCACCCTCACTGTACATATTGTCGCCCCACATATATTGTTGTTTAAAGATTTCTCTTTTTTTTGTTTTTTGGTAGTTTTGTGAATGTAATTGGTGTGTGAATCACACTGACGTATCACGTATGCTATTTCATGCAGCGTGATTGCGACGGTATTTTGTCGCCGTGTTCATATTGTCGCCGGCGACAATGTGTACCTACCTCACTGCGCATATTATCGTCCATCAGAACATGTCGCATGACAATGCACGGCAATGGTCCATATAAATATGACTTATCATTGCTTTGTTGTTTTTGAGAAGATAATTTTTAAACAATTTTCCCATATATTCCCGCGGGCCTCTTGCTGTTCCTCAGTGGTGGATCCAGAAATTTCAGAACGGAAAGGGGGGGGGCGGTTCAGAATTTTTTTTTGACAAACAAAAAAAAAGTCATTTGAATGTAAAGGTGTGTTACTGTATGTTATATGCTAAGTTTGTTTGTTGCTTAACGTCCCTCTCGAGAATTTTTCACTCATATGGAGACGCCACCACTTGCAGGTGGAGAGCTGCAAATTTTGACATATGCTCGGTACTTAGGGCCATTGAGCAGTGAGGGATCTCGGTTTATACGGTCTCATCCGAAGGATCAGTCTCCACGCCCCACAGTGGGATTCGAACCCGTGACGTAATGATCAACTCCTTACTCCGCGACTCTAGAGCAGATACTCTACCACTTCGCCACGCGGGCGACATATATGTTAAGTAAAATATTTAATTATGAAATTTTATCTGTGGACTCAATTGAGAGTATATATAAGTTAAACAATCAGAATTTACCAAAGCAAAATAAAAAAAATCAAACCTCCGGGAGGGGGGGGGGGGGGTGTGCTACATCTGTCTGGTTTTTGAGAAGATTTTTTAAAGATTTTCTATATATATTCCTATGTAAAACTTTGATCACCCATTGTGGCCCACCTTACCCCTGGGGTCATGATTTGAACAAAATTGATTTTATTTTTGTTTGTTTTTTGTTATAATGTCCATCTCGAGACCTTTTTATTCGTATGTAGACGTCACTACTTGCCGGTGGAGGGCTGCAAATTTAGACCTATGCTTGGCACTCAGGGTCATTGAGCAGTGAGGGAATTTTTTCGTTCCAGCACCTCAAAATTCAATATACGCTGTATAATGAAGCTTTCACATAAGTATCTTCTCTTCTTACCCAGTAGTTATTGAAAAAAAGATTTTTCTAAATATTCTATGAAAAACTTATGATCACCTATTGTAGCCACACCCTTCTCCCGAGGGACATGGTCTGAATAAAATTGAATCTACACTTCATAATGAAGCTTTCACATAAGTTTCAACTTTTCTTACACAGTGGTTCTTGAGAAGATGTTTAAAAGATGTCACTAAATTTTCACTTATTCTTAACTACTTCCCTTGAAAGAGGGCATGGCCCTTCATTTGAACAAACTTGAATCCCTTTTATTCACGGTAGCTGCAGAACTGTAGCTCTCTGGTTGAAAAAATTCAGACAGACAAACCAGAGAGCTACAGATCCAAGCGTTGTAAAAACCTTCGATTTACGCCGCCGCTTTTTTGTCGCTCGCTTCGGGTTTTATTTCTTGTATTTTATGCTTTCCCCCGCTTTAAGAATAGTATTCGATAATTAACCATATATTTTACTCCTATTCCTGATACTTTATTTACCTTTCAACGTTTCCAAACGGCCGTATAATGTGGAGTATGGAGTATCAGTTAAAAATGTATTCCGACATCCATGATTCATTGATGTCGTCCTGAAATAACACGCCCGAGTTTTATTTATCTTATTTCTTTTTTACGTACACATTGTCTTCGTTATAGACAATATTCATGATATTTGAACCTCCTGTATTTTAAATATTTTTATTTACATTTTCTCGACAAGTGCATTATGTTCTTTGAGAGGCCTTTTTTCGCACGACCCCAATATGGACGTCGGAATATTTTAATCCGACATTCCACATCCATTAATGGCTGTTTGGGACCGTTGAAAGGTAAAAAAAATATTAGGAATAGGAGTAAAAATATATGTTTAATTATCGGATACCATTCTCAAAGTGGGGGAAGGCATAAAATACAAGAAATAATACCCGAAGCGAGCGACAAAAAAGTGGCGGCGTAAATCGAAGGTTTTTACAACGCTTGGATCTGTAGCTCTCTGGTTTTCTGTCCGAATGCTTTCAACCAGAGAGCTACAGCTCTGCAGCTATATTCACGGATGCTTCGTGGCAAGTTTGGTTGAAATTGACCCAGTAGTTGAGAAGAAGCTGAAATTGTGAACAGCTAACAGACAGAGGGACGGTTAGACAAAATGTGATCAGTAAAGCTCACTTAAACTTCCAGTTTAGGTGATCTAATAATGTCAAGCCCAAGACCAATTATATCGGCACATGATTGTATATAAGAATAACGCAAAAAATTAATTTCCAAATAATCATTATTACTGAGCAAAAAACTAATACATGTATTCAATCTCCAAGTATACGTATATTACAAGAAAAAAAGAATAGGCTGATTTATCAGATATCTCAAGAATTACATTATCTTGACATATCATAGTGATGTACATCAATCCTGGACACAATTTTCTGACCAAAAAATTTTCTCCCTACGGTACTGCGAGTAATGCTGTCTGTCTCCCTCCGTACGTGCGTGTGTGTATGTCAACCGCTCTTTCCTTTCTCAGGTAAACATTCGTCAAAACAAAATATCGACGACAATATATGCCGACATTGACTGTACATATTGCCGCCGACGACAATATGTGCTGGTGCTTGACTGTACATTTTGTCGCCCATTATGCAGGAGGAAAATAAGGCTCCTCTTGGTACATATTGTCGCCGGCGACAATATGTTCCGATGGACGACAATATGTGCAGTGAGGGTAGGTACATATTGTCGCCGACGACAATATGTACAAAACGACAATATGTACCGTCACAACAATAACAGAAAAGGGAAAGGATGGGCCAAAGGGCAAAAATACTGATAGTGCAAAACAATTGAATATTTTTATATTTTTTCACTAAAAAGTTAATACTGTAATCACTTCACATAAATCTATAAGATCGTACTACGGATGATGACTAAACTTTGTTTTATACATGTATAGAATTCATACTCCAGCTCAAAAACTATAAAAGCTCAAATAGCTCTTTCAGGTAAAAAAAGAAGAAGAGTTTTTGGTCGGGTGGGGTGGATTTTACGGAAGCCCATTTAGGACCTATCAAAAAATATTTTCAAATTCGATATAACGAATTGTAGAATTTGTTATAACAAATTTAATTCGTTATAACAATTTCTTTGAATTCGTTATAACGAATTTAATCTGTTATAACAAATTTGTTGAATTAGTTATAACGAATTCAGAAATTTGTTGTAATGAATTAAATTCGTTTAAACGAATTGTAAAATTTGTTATAACAAATTTAATTCGTTATAACAAATTCAAAAATTTGTTGTAACGAATTAAATTCGTTAAATCAAATTCAACAATCGGGCCTATAGAAAAATATGTATGAATTCGATATAACGATTTATTGAATTCATTTTAAAGAATTTAAGTCGTTATAACAAATTAGAGAATTCGTTTTAACGAATTTAAATCGTTATAACAAGTTTCAGAATTTGTTATAACGAACTTAATTCGTTATAACAAATTTTTGAATTCGTGATAACGAATTCAATAAATTTGTTATAACAGATTAAATTCGTTATGACGAATTCAAAGAAACTGTTATAACGAATTAAATTCGTTATAACAAATTCGACAATTCGTTATATCGAATTCAAAAATATTTTTTGATAGGTCCTAAATGGGCTTCCGTAGGATTTAGAGTGGTGATCTGAAAATTCCACAAGAAGAATATGGTCCAACACCACGCTATATTTATTTATGAATAGTTATTGAAAAAGGTAAATGTTATACTGTATCCAGCTGGTACTGGTTTTTGTACGAGTTACTTTTCTTGTTCCACAATACTAAATCAATTGTTGCAGTGGCAGATGAAGACTTGATTCAGTGATACCATAATGGCAGATTATTAATTTTGTTATCTAGCAGGCGTGACTACAGTGGGAACGGGGTCACCTGTTTACCAAATATGTTTTTATTAAACTAAAAAATATTCCTTTTTTTTCATAAATCAAACAAGCTATTAATATACATCTTGATGACATCTGGTATATAGATTTGTGAAGTAAAGGATGCGAAATATCCTGCAGTGAATAAAAATTGCACAAATACTTACATGAAGCAAAATATAATCCTTGGTAAACAACATGGAATAAGGATTAATCCACCGACTACACCCAACAAAAGGACCCACCAAGGAACATCCACAATACCTGAAAAATTAATCTAATGTATTATTCTGAATCTCTATAAGCTTAAGGTCAATTAAAGATTTTTCTGATATGCATAATCACAATGACTTGACATTGTGAAGATATTTTATATGCCGTAAAGATTTCATGTCAAATCTAAACCTCTTTATATGTCTCATGCAGAATGGGCAAATAATTAAGTGTTACAATTGTTAATTATCCGATTGTCAAAACAATATTGACTCTTATTTAACAGAAAACATACTCAGATGAAACGATATTCTATCATTTATTTGGTCTTTTTATCGGGGGGGGGGGGGGGGGGGGTTAGGGTAATGTAGTACAATTTAAAACAATTTACAAATGTAAAACAGGGGTGACTTACTATCTGATACACAGGTAGGGGGCGCGCTAGACCAAGTGCCCCCGATCTGACAGATTAAGTCTGACTCCCCATTGAGGGTGTAGCTGGGGAGACACACGATTGTGTACTTTTCTGCCACGGCATAAGACGTCTTGTCCTCCGTCAGCGCGTAAGCATTGGCAGGTAGGGGAGGCTTGGTGCATGTGCCTAAAAGAAGATATTAATAATTAATATTCAACAGGACATCGAAAACCCGAAAGCGGAAAATAAAAAGTCAGTAATGGTATTTATACACACATTTATGCACACAAAGCTCAAATGTATCAAAAGCAAGGGTGCTCTCTTGACAAAATCAAAAGCGCTTCACATGCGATCGATCGATCGATCGAGAGGGTGAGAGAGAGAGAGAGAATCTTACCATGTATGAGATGAATCAAATTCAACAGCAGGAAGACTGCCGAGAGGAACTGCCTTTTTTTCATTCTAGTGTATGTTTACATCGTCAAATATTCTAAGTAAATAGGACATAAATATCAGAATTCCACAAACAGTTGTCAATTGTTGGTCTTTATAATTCAACGTTTGAAGGTAACATGTAAAACTTGTTGAATGATATCGGACGCGTGCCTGATAATAAAGAGAAATAAAACTTTTATACTTTTTTTTTTATTTCACGATGATTTTTTTTCTTGACAAAAGATATAAAGCTTTTGTAAGCCTTTACAAAAATAAAGTATTGGCCATTCATTCTTTGTCTCCCATTTTCATCATGCACATATTTTTTCTTTACAAACGAAAGGTATTACCTCCATTTTTCAACTGAGAGGTTTTCTTACAACTATGACAAAACAAAGATTCTAAATGACTAACATCAACGTTATTCAATACAAATATCATTTTTTCTCTACTCAATGACTACAAGAAACAAAAATTTTACATTTTAATCTTACCTCGGTTACAAGTTTGTTCGCCATGAAAAATGAAATATTTGACAAAGTGCGACCTTAAAAATCAAACGTCAGAGTATAAGTAGCGAGACTAAGAAGAGAAATTAAATAGGCCGAGTAAATACCCGCATTGTATCCAGGTTAATATTTTATTAACGGATTACTTATTTCTACTGCAGACTTTAAATGACTATAACAAGTTCATGTGAAGATATACAGTGTTCGCTGTATTTAAACAGATAGTTTCACTTGTATATATTAAAACAAATACATTTAGTTTAAATTTTGAGCCAGTTTCACTATTTTTCTGCATGATACGGAAGCCTATTAGGGCCGCAGCAGTATTTTTTTTTTATTAATTATCAGTTATTTGAAGATCATTCATCACAGTAAATAACATGCAATTAAGTCCAAAAAAATGTACATATTAACTTTATATATTAATATAATATTTTAATTCAATATTTTGCTTAATTATTGTAAACTTTAGACATTTCTTTATCAAAATGTAAACAATTATGGTTATTACTTAATTTTACATTAATTTTCATGCGTGATGTCAGAGAGAGAGAGAGAGGGAGGGGGATGAAACAATGGTTTTCACTTTATTTAGTAGGAGTTGTCTCTCTTTTAACGTTTGCGCTGATCTACATAATCAGAATTTAAGGATCTTGAACCTGCATCGCTTTATTTCCATTTGCTGGCGTTCAGGAGATATAAAGCTGAAAGCTACACTCTTCATTTTACTACAGGAACGCTGGCCTGTCGGCAATAAATGTCGTTTTATAAAGCAATTATTCCATGTTTTATCTGATCAAAAGGCACTTAGGCCATTAGAATCAACAAAATATAACGGGAGATTTGCACTTTCAGGTTTAGAGAGACCGCTAATTATTACACTCTCAGAAGCTGAGAATCGGTCACTAACACGCAAACTAACGATTCTGTCTTTTTTCACTATCTTTCGTCCATTTTCTACTAAAAAAGAAGTGAAATAAACAAAAAATCGTCAAATTGTAGGCATTGTTTTATTTGATACTTACGCAGCTAGGTTAAGGACGCCCATGAAATATACGCCTTAATATATTCAGGGAAAATGAATACAATTTTAATATTTTTTTTTAACAGCATTAGTTTTGATAAATGTGATATGTGGTGTTTGCACTTGTATATATCGGGTCTCTGCTGAGTTCGGCCAAAACGACATCGCTTACATCAGCTGTTTGTCACGTGACAATTTTAAAATTAGAACATATATGTACTACTACAAAGATCGTAAAAGTTCAACGATATACGGGCATTTTTACGCTATAAAATTTATTCTGTTATCTTTGAGACAAATTCCTTAACACGAAAAGTGCTGGGAGCAACTTCCTCATGCTCGGGAATTGTTTGAAATTTAGCCGTCTTTCTAAAAACTCCAGTCAAAAATGTAATTCGCATTGGAATAATGTTACATTACGGAATAAATCAACAAAGCACAACCAGCTCCCAGCACTTTTCAGAATAGTAGGGATAATAGCTACACGTGTTTAAAAATTTAGAATTTATAGTGAAGCGGATATCGTTGAACTTTTGATATTTTCGAGGGGCTGGACCTGTCATTCTAGCATGTTACTGTACAAATGTGCTCCCTACGGCCTAATATAAAGTCTACACATTATCAATTTAGTTTGACAATAAAATATGGATTAATATATTTCAGAATATTTCTCTCTTTTGGTCCGACTACGCGTGTTTCGTATTTATCTTTATTTTTACAAGCTACGATAAAAGCTTGATCCACGCCTCAAGTACAGAGAAACTGCGTGTCAAACTAAGAAATGACGTCACCTCAGTAAGTACAGCGAGATCAAGCTGGCTTTCATTCTACATACGCTAAGTGCTATTATGGCAAGATAAGTTGCACATCCATTTATCTTTATAATATTAATGATAAACGAAAGTATTTAATGTGTTTTAAAAAGAACATATAGTATTTATTCATCGAGATTCATTTGTATTGTTTTAACGTGACGTCATAATAGCATTACCGAACCTCTGCATAGGCTGACGTATATATGGGAGTCCTTAACCTAGCTGCGTAGTGGTTTTAATTATAAATTATCAAAAATACTACAAAGGCAGGGAAAGAATTCCGATATGTTGTTATATATCAGGAGAAGAAAATATATTTCAAGCAAAAAGTTTTATTTCTGAAAATGTTTGCAAACCTGACTTCTCTATTATTGCCGATGTTGTTTTTTGTTTTAATATTCATTTTTTTTTTAATTTAATTTAGAAATAAAATGTTTTTATTGCAAAAATCCTATTTAAACTTCGGGTTGTCTAGATAATAACTTGAAAAACAAATCTCCTTATTCACCCTAATTCTAAAACATCGTGTTTGTATCGTAGGGAGCCCGCATACATTCTTTTAAATTCTATCTCTTTAAAACCCGTAAATTCCTTGATAAGTTAGGCATGCAAAGGTCATATTACAATCTTCTTTGCTCACAAAGATAGCGGAGGCGGAATTCACTAACATGTAATAACATAGGTGTAACATTCTGACACACTTTCTATTTCCGCGAAAACAAAATCAGTTATCAATGCCGTGAATCATAAGGACTCTGGTTTGGCATATTGTTCATTCAGTTTTTTTTTTACGAGAAGGGAGTTGTTTGTTAATAGTTTACGATCAAAATTAAAGTTTGATAATGTCTACTTCCCATATGCCTTCTGTTGAATGATTTATAAAATGCAGGCCAGTAGAAACCGGGGGGGGGGGGGGGGCAGGGATGGAAGTGGGGTGCCCCCCCCCCCCCTAATTTTGACAGTACATACTTTGTGATAATTTACGATGCTGTCACCTTTTGCTTCTCAAGGGAATTGTATTTCTTTAAAGTCACCCCCTCCCCCCCCCCCCGATATGAAATTCTGAAAAAACACATTCGTTGTGTTTCTTTCCCCGTGTATATACAGAAGGCGGCTCTTGAATTTTTAAAGTACATTGGGTGGGTAAATGGTCAACCGACGATGATAATCTTCTGGAAAAAAAGTAAAAACTATTTACTTTACTATTTAAAGCTCGACCAATCTACATCGATAACTAAAAGACGATGTATGTATTACGTTTAGCATTTAAAGAAAATAAAATTACCCTCCCCCAACAAAAGATTGCAACGGGACATGGTTGGATATTGATAACTTGAAAACGTAACAGCTTTAAAGAATGGATTAGGCATACTTTATCGGTATACATTCGCATGTATAAAGGAAGTTTGGAGTTAACAAGCTATTTCAGAAAAAAGTGCTATATCTCTGCCTTTTCTTTAAGCAGTATTGGTGCTATACATGTACATACGCAACTACAAAAAAGATATGTAGTATATATTGCTTATGTCAGTATTATTCTTGAAAACTGACTGACATTTTCTTTCTTTAATAATACATACATACATACATACATACATACATATATATATATATATATATATATATATATATATATATATATATATATATATATATATATATATATATATTTTCGTCTGCGATTTTACTGTAAAACATGTTATTGCCTAGGGACTGGTAGGTTGATCCAATGTCATGCTTCTTTCATGAAACATTTTGAAACATGAAACATTTTATTCACTTAATGGCCTCACATGAGGCATAAAAGTACAAAAAGAAATAAATCAACAATGAAAAGGCATCAAATGAACAAAGAATTAACATATATACAATATTAATTTAGAGGTATTGGAAGGAATTTCAAGAGTGAACTAAAGACATTACAATCTTACATAATTTTGCCAAGCCAATTAAGGTAAATTTATCATCGCTGTTAAACAGGTTAGCAAAGCTATAGTTGCACAAGTCTTAATTTATTCTTCTGAAAGTTACCCTTCCTTGAAAAAAATAATGCCACGGTATTGAAATTCTTCTACAGTTGATAATTTCTCACCATTGCACATAAAAAAAAGTATTTCAGGTTGTCCACTTTTTGAAAATATTACAACATTTGTTTTTGAACTTTTAGATTCCAAGTTTCACAGTAAAGATACATAGCATTCAGGGCTGTCTGTAACTCAGATGCAGTTTCAGCAAATATAACGGTGTCGTCAGCATATAGTAACAAATACAACTTAAAAAACATCCCAATATCATCATTATTAAAAAGTAAATGAGATATTTTACCAACATCAGTGAGCCCATTATATGCGTGGGACAAGAAATCAGTCAAATCATTAAGAAATAATGAAAACAAGGGGAGATAGATTTTCACCTTGTCTCACACCGATATTACACGTAAAAAACTCTGAGCATTTCGCACCGCTTCTTTCACAAGATTTGGCATTTTTATACAAGTTCTGCAAAACATTAAGCATTTTACCATTAATTTACTGCGCAGAACTAGTACTATACTAGTACACTAGTACCTCGTGTCAAATATTTTCCTTATCTAGAAAGTAGTTATTTCACTCACATTTTGGAAGGGAAATTTCCGCCTGAGTACAGTACTAGGAAAATATGGAAATATCACTCCTAAA